GTCAAAGGCCGGATAACCTTCAAACCCCCGCCAGCTCTAAAATAAGCCGGCTACCGGCGACGCCCATCCGGGTGAATTCGTAGAAGAGAGCATCTCCCATTCGGGTGGTACATTGTTCTATAAATTATAACGCAAACGGCTTTAACCTACTATCTAGGTTAAAGATAGCTAACAGCCATTTCAATAATCAATCGAGACCTAGGTACAACCGGTCGTTGCTCAAAAGCATCAAAAACGGTAATTGATATCTTGGTTGGATGTAACCGGTCATTGCTTAGGAGCAATATAAACGGCTATAATTGAAAACTTAAGCTGAGTCAAAACTTCTGTAGTTTAAACTGATTACGGCACCTACAACCAACCATTGGTCGATTGCTATTAAACAATCGGCAAAGACTAATTATCCTAAAGGTTAATTCACAACCGGTTAATCAATTGATCTAGGTTGGAGCCTAGCTGAAACTGTCTGCTAGGTTAAAATCGAAAGGTTTCATAGTAGGCGATCAATGGCCGTCTGGCCTTTCGTCCGGATGCTTGAGTTGGATGACTGCCTGCTTGGGGTGGGGCAATTACCAAGAAAACAATCGTCCAGGGGCAGATAAAGCCAATACATCCGACAAACTGCATGTATTACGTTACTTGAAAAAATATATGTGCATATTGAAATATTGCAAAGAATCACAAAATTGCAAAATTCGAAAAGTTAAAACCAGATATAGAAAAATCGACACAGTCGGCAAAATATATTATAAAAACCGACCAATAGGCCGGGAGAGTAATTGTTAGCTGGATCTACATCCGGAGAAAAGATACAATAGGATACACGGCACGTAGGCCGAGAGCACAAACAAAAAATTGTCGAGTCACTGGGCCGGGGCTATAGGCGCATCCTTGGAAGGCGGAGCTGAGGCAAAGGTCTTTTGATCTTCAATTTGCTCCTCCTCTTCTTCTTAAGAGACCGCCTCCTCCTCCTCGCCGGCTGCAATCTCCTTCTTAACCCACTCCTGGAACGGCTCTGGCTCTGACGCACCTTCCTCCCTTGCCAAAATAGCAAGGTCAACGTATTTGTACGCCAGCTCCCAGACGTTGTAATCCGCCTATGGATTTAGGAGTGACCAAGCCGTCCTCATTCTTTTTTTGCAGTCGTGCTCATTCTCTTTAATAAGACGGTTCTGCTCAGCCGCCAGCATGGCCTGAAAGTGTTTTTAGGCATCAGCCATTTCCTTCTGCAGGCAGTCATTGGAGTTTTTCAGGGAGGCGTTCTCCTTTTTTGTGTCCTCCAAGGCCTTGAGATCCGCCTGAGTGTTTTTTATCTCAGACTCAACGTTCTCCAATTAGTTTTGGAGATTGGAGGCCTTCATGTTAGCTTCATTAAGGGCCTTCTGGAACCGCTTGATAGACTTTACCTGTGACAAAAGCTAGGCTTTAGTCTCTAATTCATGAATAATCAGTTGATGCTGAGAAACATCAGACGTCTCTAACGCGTCTCTCTATGTCCGTCTTACCTCCTCCGATTTACGAGCATACGTCTTTTTTAGCCCCTCCACCCACAGCATCGTCTGTATAAATAAAGACGGTATTAGAAATGCAACTGATATATATATATACTAAGAGAATGCAAAGCTGGAAGACTGTCATAACTCAGACAGCATGGCCAGGATGCGGTCAACATTGAATTGCTGAATCCCGGGGATGGCCTCCCTATCCTCCTTGGGGAAGGCCTTCAGCATGGCCTTGAAGTACTGATGTACATTCGGCCACCGGGGGAATAGATCTGCACCATAAAGAGATGGTGAGAAAGCTACATAAGCGCCTCCTATAGATCGCCAGCTGCTTAAAGAGTCTTCTAATTGGAGATGAGAATATGACTTGACCTGCATGGGCCAACCCAGCTCAAATGGGTAAGTTAAGGTGTCAGCCGTACCTTGAGGATATGGCTGAGGGTTTGAAAACCCTTCAGTCGCAGCAGCACCGCTTGTATCTCTAGATGGCTGGCCATCCTTCTTCTAACGGCATCCGGCTGGGAGGAAAGGTCAACAACCAGTTGCAGACACTTTCCTCCAACGGTCATCCTCGGAGCCGTTTGTTCAGACGTTCTTCTAGCCTTGTTGCTAGAAGTCTTCTCACCAGACCGGGGTCTGATTATTTTAGAGAGGGACCTAGGAACTTTGTCTCCCTCCTGAAAAGCAAATCAAGTGTTAAATATGCAGTCGGGTCAAGGCCTAAAACCGTACAAACGGTAACCACATGAATAATAAAGTCGAAAAGGATGGGAGTGGTGCAGACGGTGAATACCTTGCCTAAAGCCGCCAGAGCGGCCTTTTTTTTCTCCGCATTCTCCTTGCGGATGTCTGCTGCAGAGCGAGCAGGCTTCTTGTCTTCTGGAAGCATCCTTAAGGCTGTTTTTGCAAAAGGGAGTCGTCTGTTAGAATTTCAGAAAGGTGAAAATACAAACTTACAATTAATAGAGACGACAAAGTATTGACGGATGCATGGGCTACGTACGTGTGTCAAATTGGGTGCTCAACCCACAAGCGGACAAAAATCCCTCGTCCCTAAAAAACTCATGTCTGGGTACCCAATTTTTGGGTACACTTATTAATTCCTGGGTTGAGAGAGTGGTGATTGTGAGTTCAAAGTCTTCCTCCGGGACTCAAGGAAACTTGCACTTCTGCCTCAGCAAATCCGATTTCCGGTTGTAGGCGTGGAGTTCAAAGTTTTCACGCTTCGAAGGGGCAGACACCAAGTAGAAGCGATTTTTCTAATCTGACCACTTAGACGGTTTGTCTAGGGTCATTAAATACTTTGGGTAGGTGGTCAGGGTATACCATGCTCGCCACCCGCCTGTGCTCCGGCTTAGGTAATGCATGTTGACAAAGGCCTCCCAGCCGAGATGGAGACCTTGCATCTCACAAGCGACGATGTAGCCCAAGATGTTAACCTAGGAGTTTGGGGTTAACTACCACACGCCTAGGCCATATCCTCTTAGGATAGCCTTTATTGCATCGTGGAGGGGGAAGTGGATCCCAGTCAAAAAGGCCGCCTCATAGCAGCCAAAATATTTGTTGGCGTTGGGCTGGCCATCGTTCCAGGCAATGGTCCCAACCGCAGGTGGCACCCGGATGGTATATCCCTCCCCTAGAGGACGCCTGCGTTTAAAGGTCTCCAGGTGCCTCTCCATGTTTTTCCTATGGATTTAAAGTGGATCCCCTTTATTATTCCACGAGGGCCCCTCTTCCTCCTCACTATCCACATCCGAAGATAGTGAGCTACTGCTGCTGCTCCCATTAGAGCTAAACCCAGACACAGAGGCGGAGTCACCCCCGTCTCTTTTAGGGGCAGCCTCTTCCGTCTCCTCAACACCAGAGATGGAGGCAGGTTCTTCACCGTCTTCCTTCTCAGACTCAAGGATCCCGTCGCTAGGAGTACTGGGTGTACCCATGGGGGATCTTCTTATTTCAGCCTGTTCTAGCTCATGCGGCGCATCTTCTGAATCATCCCTATATTCGGGATCTACAGTCGTCTTCCTAGTCCTAGTCATAGTGTCCTGCACAAACACGGAGACGGTCGGACGGAGAGAACAAGAGAGGTCCAAACACCCAGAGGCGGCACCCCCAATTCTAGATTCAGCCGTACCAGGGGACCGGCTGTCAACTAAACTATGTTGTGCCGTGTGTGATGTTGGTGAATCCATTTATTAAGAAAAATGTATACAAACGGAAATATATGAAAGAATTGAGAAGAAGAGAGACGGTACCTATAAAGTGAGCTGCAAAGTAGACAAGCGTTGACCAGCTGAACTAGCAGGCGAAAACTCAACAATGCCTTTGCAGTAATCTCATATGGTTAATCAGAGGTACCCCGAAAAGCAAATCACTGCTTGCAAATTTCTAAACGGTGCTCCGACTGTGAGTAAAGAAGTGAAGGAAATTGCTTGTAAGATATACAGGCGGTTAGTAGAGCTTATCTCTCCAAAAAAAAATGGATGTCTCTCTCTTAGTTGTAGATACGTCCCAAAAGGAGGGGCACCTGTTTTATTTATAGAGGGGTAATTCGGGGGGCATCCCCATAATTTCCTTAGAAGACCAACGGTTAAAAATCATCCCCAATGGCCGCCTGACAGGTGTCATAGGTGTCACGCGGCATGCCACGTCACACCTGTGAGGGGCAAATGTTTTGGGTAAAAATACCCTGGCTACGTGGCCCAATGAGATGGTGACACGTGTCACCCCAGGAGAGATTCTAACTGAACCAACCCCCTGCTGACACGTGGCAACCCCAGCCCTGAATAAGAAAATGGTCTTTCTGGCCCAATTCATTAGATCAGCCCACCAATTTTTGAGATCCCTAAAAAGGGGAGCTATCTTCAAACCCTATAAATAGGGAGACATCCCCATTAATTGCACCCATTCAGAAATATCTATAAACAAGAGCTATATTAATTGCAGATACTCTTTCTCGAAATCCGAGAAGACTCTTTATATTCCGCATCTTACATCTCCCATGCAAGTACTACTTGATCGTCGGAGGCGGAACTCCACCCAACTTGAGTCTCCATTACTTTGCAAGTACAAACGGTCGGCATCCAACTCTAAGATTGTAACTCTCCCGCAAGACACATCAAAAACCCCGAAACACCAACTTGTTAAAACAATATTATGCTTTACCTTTTTGTGGTGCAACGGAATTCGACTACTTCAAGACAACCGAAAAATAATACAACATCGCAAACACGTTGACAATTAAAATAAACAAAACAATTTCAATACTCGTTCAACCCAGATGGCCAGAACAAAATACACTAGTAGAAAAAATGAAAAAGGCACCCCCCTTTTCCATCGGTTTTTTAAAAACCGGTGGGAAAAGAAATAGGCGGGATTTGGATAATTTCTTTTCCCACCGGTTCCTTATAAACCGGTGGCAAATCTTGGATTTCGCACCGGTTCATCCCAAACCGTTGGGAAAATTTTATTTAAAACCGGTCAATTTTCTTTCTTACTCTTTCATTTCCTCGATCTTTCCTCCTCTCTCATCTGCCTCTCTCTCTCCTCCATTGAAGCGTACTCGACATTCTCCATTGAAGGGGCTTCTGATTTGCAAGTGCACACCGTCGACCATTGTTGGGTCTTCCTCTAATTGTCGGTGCTAGTGATGGTGGGTTCCAGCCTCTAATTGTCTCAAGCACCACCGAATTTGTTCGCAAGTGCCCACCGTCGACCATTGCTGGTTCTGCCTGCTCCGGTCGCACGCACCACCGTCCTTGTGCTCCACCACCACCGCCCAACATCTGACCATCAGGTTCGTTGTTGAATTCTATTTATTTAACTTCTTACCTCAATTTCGTTTTCTTCTTGCTAGGGTTACAATTTTGATTGTAGTTTTTAGGTCAAAATTGGGGCAATTTCATTGTTATTGTTGTTGTTTTTTAATTATTAGAGGTTATTAATTCTGAATTATATTGGCATTTTTCTAGGGTTTTGTTAATTTAGATTTTTCAATTTATTTTTATTAGCTTCTAATTTTCTGGCATACATGTTTGATTCCTTAATGGTCCAGGATAGAAATGGAAATTTAGCATCCGGCACGATTGCGAACCTTGTTGATGAGCTTGGTGCTGTGGTTATTTACAGAGAAGGACTTCCAATGAATGTATCTGTCACCATGTCTATCTCCTATGTGTCAACTGCCAAGGTTGATGTATGTGTAACTTCAATTCTTGAACTTCTTGTTATTGTTTATCATGCTGATCATACTTTGGTTTGTTGTATGAGTGACTTGTGATGGTTTGCTTCATTATGAATGTTAACATGAGCTATTTTGGCTCGGGAAAATGCTAGTGATACTACTCAAATTTAAGCTATTTTGTTGATACTAGTCTAGTTTAACTATTAAGTAGATTATTGGAATGACTTTTTAATTGTTTAGTTAATTTTATAATTTTTTTGGTGTGTGTGTGTGGGAGGGGAGTGACTGAAGATATCTCATTCTTGTGATGATGTGAAGTCTGATGGTATAATCAAGAGAAAATTAAAATGAAGTTGATGGTAATATTACATTATCTGTTTGTTGATGAGAAGGTTTGGACTTAGTAGAGAGCGGAGAATGTTATAGATAGGCGGACTAGGTTTAGACCATATGTGTTCGGATGTTCTGAAAAGCATTGTTGTTTTAACGGAGTTTGATCTGTATTGATAATGTGTTCTCCTTGGCCCTAAACTGATTTTTAATCTTAAGAAAATGCGACATGATCTGTTTCTGTGCATTACAGCAAGTTTTCGATTTCTTCTATTACTTTCTTGCCTCATGGAGAGTTGACAGTTAATTTTGTGTATCAAGTAATCCTCCTGTAGTTACTGTCATATGGAGTACATCTTTTCCTTCGCTTGCATACAGAGAATTCCCACAGATATGAGGCTGATGAGGAGCATGGTTAAAATCTACTAGTAGGAAGCTAAGGATTAGCTCGACTTCAAAATTTCTCCCGGTTAAAACCAGGGTGGTGAGACTGGTGACTGGCGAGGTTATACAACTCCATTAGCTCAGGGTCCCTGATAAGTTTAAGGCGGCCCTGAACTTAGAGTGTGACAACGACCAATTAACTACATGCATTTATTTTGTAACTATATTACTGTATATAATCTTGCTTTTAATTCTTACATTACTTGTCCATGATTCATGATTGTATATATATATTACTCTAAAACTTGTATGTACTGTCATACAAATCTTTACTATTCCGAATACTAGCAGCTTTATTCAGTAATAAGTTGCTACGAATATATCCAATATTTTTCCTATATTGCATATTGCAGTGCTGGGCTGTGCTAGAAAGTGACTTGGGAAATACAAGGAAAGCAAGAGAACTATTTGATGCGGACTTTGCTGATAAGAAGCACATTGCAGCGTGGCATGGATGGGCAGTTTTGCAGCTAAAACAAGGTAATATTAAGAAGGCTAGGAATCTTCTTGGCAAAGGTAATAAATACTGTGGTGGAAATGAGTACGTATACCAGACTCTCGCGTTGCTTGAAGCTAAGGCTAATCGCTATGAGCAGGCCAGCTACTTGTTTAGACAAGCCACAAGGTGTAACCCCAAAAGCTGTGCTAGTTGGCTTGTAAGTGTTTGGTTTCCCTGTTCGTTTGATTTTTGTTTATTTACTTGTCATTCAACTCGTATCAATTTCTGCATTAAAGCAATGAATATTAATAATCTTTAACTCTGTTCATAGAGGTTATTATGCTGAAACTTCCTATGCAACTCTTGTCTTTCCAAAATCAGGCCTGGGCACAGTTAGAGATGCAGCAGGAAAACAATCAAGCTGCATGTTATTTGTTTAAGGTAATTGATCATAACAATATGGAATACTATGAATCATGATGAATTACACAAAATCTGTGAATTACTCCATTAATTTCTAACCGCAATTTACATTTTCAGAAGTTGTTCAGGCTAGCCCAAAAAATAGGTTTGCCTGGCATGTATGGGGGCTATTTGAGGCTAATCTTGGAAACATTGACAAAGCAAGAAAAATTCTAAAAATAGGTCATCTTGTAAACCCGAGGGATCCAGTACTTCTTCAGTCTCTTGCTTTGCTGGAGTACAGGCACTCCACTGCAAATGTTTCCAGGATTTTGTTCAAGAGGGCATCGGAGTTGGATCCAAAGCATCAACCCGTCTGGATTATTTTACCAACAGAAAGAAGAATGGAGGTTCATCTTCCTAATTTCCAAAAGATTTTAATGCGTCAGATTTAATCCCTAATCTTTACTCTGCAAAAACCATTTTGGGTATTTTGCTGCTGCTTCAATTGCTGTTTTCTGCTTCACATGGATTCTCTCAGGTATTATTTTTTTTCTACTTGATTTACTCTGTTTATATTCTATCATCACGCCTCCTTAGTTAATTGGTGGGTGCAACGAACTAGTATTAACTAGTATATACCATGCTGAGTTTGTCTCGTGCAGGTCCTGTAGCAGGTCTTACTCTGGTACAGATTCTGCTACAGTCTCTGTTCTGGGTGCTGGATTTGGTTTGCTGGGTTCTGGCTTTGTTGAGTTCAGGTCTGCTAGGGTCTGGTTTACAAAAGCTCGGGTTTCTGGTTTCTGGTTGCTGTGTTGTTCCTGGCTACTGGGATCTGGTTGCAGGCTCTGGTGAAGTTCATGTGCTGGATTTGGTTGATGCAGGTGTTGGGTGGCTGGCTATGCTTGGTATGCTCATCTGTTTGGAAACCTGCTGGCTGTGTCTGTTTGGGTTGTTTCTGTTTTTTGTTTCTGTTAGGGTGGGCTGCTGTCTTCTATTGCAGTGCATCATGGTTGGCTATTTTTGAAGAAAATATATATGTTAGTGTTTATATGTCCATTTTTTTTTTTTTTTGTTTTTTAAAGTGTAATATTACAAGTTATTGAGGCAAATATATGTGTTTTATGTATATTATGATTATATATAAGTATTTGATACAATTTAAGTGGAAAAAATGCAAAAAAAAAAAAAAAAAATATATATATATATATATATATATTAAATTTTTTGGGGCACTTTTGCCACCGGGTCAGTGTGAAAACCGGTGGGAAATGTTATAGTTTTGCCACCGGTTCACTTGAAAATCGGTGGGAAAAGTCCTCCAGCTATAACATAAATCACATGTTTTTGCCACCGGTTCACTCCAAAATCGGTGGGAAAAGTGGTTTTTGCCACCGGTTTTGAACCGGTGGGAAATCTTTGGGGATATAGCACCCCCCAAATCAAGAACGGTTCAAAATCGGTGGGGAATGTGTGGTTTGAACCGGTGGGGATTGAGGTTTTTCGCCTAGTGATACTCTAGCAAATACCCAAAACAAACTCAGTTCAAAAACCCTACAAATTGAATCCAGAAACCCTAGTCGTCCAATTACCCAAAAGCAATTAAAAACAAACCAAAAACCACATTAATTTGAAATTGCAACGACAAATTTTCCATACTCATTCAATTACCAAACGTAATTAATCCTACATATTGAGTCCAAAAACCCTAGTCATCCTTTAGCAAATTTCACGCAAACACAGAAATCCGTGTGATCCAAAGTCAACTTCTTTGGCTCATGAACCTGTTGCTTTAGTCTTGGAAACACTTTGGTTTTATCCATTTCCAAAGAGGGGCGAAATTCTATGTTGCATTTCATGGGTGGATTAAAGATTCGAAGCAATTGGGAATACATCACACGTTGGCCCATTTCACTACTATTTTTGGGCGTGTGTTGCTTGATCCATTTACTTAGTATTATTAGCTTGAGTTTGTTGTTTTCGTTGCTAAAATAATGCCAGGAGTTGTACTTTGGCTGGTTGTAATAGGAAGAGTTTAACTCTTCATCTTTAGACTTAATTAAGGCATTTAAGCTAGCTTGTATTAAAGGAAATCAATGGCTTTTGGCTCTCCATATTTTGGACGGTTTTCCTTGCCTTTTGGTGTGCTTATTTGCCGCTCCTTTCCTCTATAAAAAGGAGAGCAAACCAGAAATAAAATCAGTTTTTGAGTTATACATAAAAACAGTGAGGTTCGCTTAACATTCTTCTTTGTGTTTGTCCAAAGTTTGAGTGTTGTTCCTTGTTGCTTTGAGTTAGTTCTTGAGTGAAAATATTAGGGAGAGATTGAGTGTGTCTTGTCTCTAGCCTAAGAACCCAGAACTTTGAGTGTGTTCTTGAGTTTTGGTCAGTTTTCACCATTGTAAGTTGTTCCAAAGTGAGTAGCGTTTCATTCAAGTCTAAATACCATAACAACTTGTTTGGGGGGTTTTTTAGACTTACATAATCTGGTATCAGAGCCTAGGTTAGGGTTTTCTTGAAGAAAATCGAGTTTGAAGGCGTTTGGAACAAAACGGCAAAATTCGATCAGTTTGGAGTTGCAGTTTGAGAAAGCCATATCTCCTTTGTTTTCTGTCCAAATTGAGTGATTCTTTTTTTTGAATCTAGATATTTCTCTGTTTATAATACTCAAAAAAAAAATCAGAATTTTTGAAATTTTTCTGCTAATAAACTGGGCAGGTTTTTCGTAGCAGCGCAGAAAAGAGGCAAAACCGGGAAGGCAGATTTCAATCGAAGTTTTCTCCCTCTTCTGGAAAGCTTTTAAGGCGATTCTTTTTTTTAAACTGGTTTTTTTTATCTGAATTTTCTGAAATTGTAAGCCTTTGAGAGTCTCAAGGCCTTTTCCTTTCTCGTTCATTTGTGTGAAGTTTCGGCAGTATACTTGTAATAGCGAAATAATGGAAATCATGGCTAGTGAGGAGCTGGCTAGAATGTTTCAGGTAATCTCTGATAAGTTGGAGAGTTTAGAGAAAAGAAAGGAAGAGAGAGAGGAGGAGAAGGCTAAGCAAAATACTGGGATGGATGCAATTGTCGATATGGTGTTGCAAACAACTAGAAAATTGAGCGAGTTAGAAAATGAGGATGTGGGTAGTGGCAGCAATCTTAGGAAATTTGATGAAGATAGGGGGCTTAAGATTGACCTACCAGAATTTGATGGGGGGCATGATAGTGAGGCCTTTCTAGATTGGGTGAGGCAAATTGAAACTGTTTTTTAGTATAAGGGGTTTGATGATAAAAAAAAGGTTCAAATTGTCTGTTCTAAAACTCACTAAATAGCTGCCCTATGGTATGAAAACCTCAAGGCAAATAGAAGAAGAGAGGGAAAAGAAAAAATTGACTCATGGGAGAAGTTGAAAAAGAAGATGAGGGAAAAATGGGTAAATAGGGAGTACGAACAAGAGCAATACCTAAAATTGACCCATTTATCCCAAGAAAACATGAGTGTACATTAAGGACTTTGAGAAGTTGTGTTTGGTGTGTGACTTGCAAGAGAAGGAGACCTTAAAATTGCTCGTTTTGTCAAAGGTCTTTCGAAGAGTATTAGCCAAAAGGTGGAAGTGACTCACTATACCACTTTTAGTGATGCTTGCAAGTTGGCTATTCGTTTTGAAACTCAATTGAAAGAAGAGAGACCCAAAAGTTCTTCTTTCAAGAGTCTTATGAAATTTACTCCTTACTCAAAGGGGAGTACGTTTCAAAATAAAACAGGTGGTTCCTTTTCACATAAGTCTTCTTCTTCTAGTTCTAAGTTTGACAAAGGGAAGGAAAAGACCGTAATTTCACCTAGTGAACTTGCTACTAGGAGAAAGTGTTTCAAGTGTCACGGTAGAGGTCATATAGCATCCGAGTGCCCTAGTAAAAATGTGTTGACTGCCGCACAATATGCAATGTTTGATGAAGAAGAAAACCTCTACAACTTTGTTACACAAGCGGAAAACGAAGAGCTTGATGATGACTATGATGAAGAGATTCCTCCAGAAAATGAGTTTAACATGATGGTTGTTAGAAAGGTGTTGTTTAGTGAGCCTCAAGTTGATGAGAGGCAAAGAAACAACTTGTTTCATACTAGATGCAAGATTGGAGAGAAGACTTGCAATGTGATTGTTGATGGAGGAGCACAAACGGATGTTCTCTCATCCGAAGCCGTGAGTAAGTTAAAGCTTACCACTAGAGATCATGAGGAGCCTTACAAGCTCAATTGGTTGAATGATGGCAATGGTATTAGGGTAAAGAAGCAAGCTTTGGTTTCTTACTCTATTGAAACTTTGAAGATGAGAGATGGTGCGACGTTCTTCCTATGGATTCGGAGCATAGAGGCAAATCTAATGTATATCTTGTAACTACTAGAGATGGTAGAAAAGTGAAATTGCTTCCCCTACCCCCTAAAGTTGCTAAGAAAGACAAAGAAAAGAGCAACCATCTTGTATCTTGTAATGAGTTCGAGAAAATAGTGGAAGAAAATGGTGGGGGTATGCTTTGGTTGTGAGAACCAAAGATGAGGAAGTGAATTCTTGCAATGACTCATTACTTTTTAAAGAGTTGTTGGAAGAATTCAAAGATGTGTTCCCCAATGACTTGCCCAAGGGACTCCCTCCAATAAGGGGCATTGAGCATGCCATTGACTTGATTCCAGGAGCACCTTTGCCCAACAAGGCTGCCTATAGGAGTAATCCAGAGGAGAGTAAGGAACTTGAAAGACAAGTGAATGAATTGATAGAGAGAGGCTATGTGAGAAAGAGCCTTAGTCCTTGCGCCGTTCCCGCTCTTTTAGTACCAAAGAAAGATGGTACTTGGAGAATGTGTGTTGATAGTCGTTCCATTAACAATATAACCATCAAATATCGTTTTCCTATGCCTCGCTTGCAAGATATGTTGGATGAGTTGAATGGTGCCTTAGTCTTTTCCAAAATTGACTTGAGGAGTGGTTACCATCAAATGAGAATTTGAGAGGGAGATGAGTGGAAAACGGCTTTCAAAACAAAGCAAGGGTTGTATGAGTGGTTGGTGATGCCATTTGGGCTTTGCAACGCCCCAAGCTCCTTCATGAGGTTGATGAATGAAGTCCTCCGTCCATTCCTTAATGATTTTATTGTTGTTTACTTAGATGACATTCTTGTGTATAGTAAAAGCAATGAAGATCATGTAATTCATTTAAGGAGGTTGTTTGAAAAATTGAGGGAGGTGAAGTTGTATGGTAAGCTTGAGAAATGTGTATTCATGACTCCTAGTGTTGTATTCTTAGGATACATTGTAACATGAGAGGGGGTACATGTAGATCCTGAAAAGGTGAAGGCGATTCAAACTTGGTTGGCTCCAACCAATGTTCACGAAGTAAGGAGTTTTCATGGGCTAGCCTCACGCTATAGGCGGTTCATAAAAAACTTCTCATTCATCATGGCTCCAATCACGAAATTGACAAAAAAAGGTGATTTTGAGTGGAATGAAGCGGCACAGAAGGCCTTTGAGAGGGCCAAATATCTTCTTTGCAACGCTCCTATACTTGTGCTACCGGATTTCAACAAAGTGTTTGAGGTGGAGTGTGATGCAAGTGGGATTGGAATAGGTGCTGTTTTGATTCAAGAGAAGAAGCCCATGAGCTACTTTAGTGAGAAGTTGAATGGGGCGAAGTTGAACTATTCCACTTATGACCGTGAGTTCTATGCCATAGTTAGAGCCCTTGATCATTAGTCTCACTACCTTAGACCAAAGCCATTTGTTCTTCATTCCGATCACGAGGCTCTAAAGTTCATACATGGGAAACA